TTTCTCTTGTTATTAGAAATGAACTGTGCGATTTCTGACAGGCTTTTGTTGGTCATAGGGGCTTGATAACTTAAAGTTGGAAAGGCCTGTGATTTGAGGGAATCAAAACTGTCTTTGTACACACCACGAGCTTCAACACGAGTGGCTTTCCTGATCCAAGGATAATTAGTGACTCCCAAATGATTGACAAGCTCACTATATGAAGTAAAAGTAGGGAAAAATTGGATCGAATCATGTTAACGGTTTAGATACAGTCAATCGAACACATATGAAATAGATTTTCCAGCGTAATAATTTAAAAATAAATTGTAATAAAGGTAACACATACAAACTCAAGTCGGGAACGAGCGATTTACAAACTTTTTCGATTTTCTGGAGGGGATGAGGGTGTGGTGTGCAAAGGACTATTTTGTAGACGACTCTCGTCAACCATAAAATTATGAGATCAAGCTGGCTGAAAATTTGTCATGTTTCGTTTGGATATATATTTCTAACTAAATCGGTTAGATAGTGAAGAATGTGCGCAAAAAATTAACAAAATGTGAAAGCTTTTTAGAATAGTCGATGGCACTTACGATTCATCATAGTTGCCGCCGTAAATGTTCCATTGTCCAAGGCCTACGAATCAAAAGTAAAGCGTTGCTAATTTATCAAAGTGGGATTCATTCAGGGTGGGGTCTATCCGGGTGGGGTCCATTAAGGTGGCTCAAAAGGGTTTCGTTAGTAACCAGTCATTATCAATCTCCTAGGGAAAGGGGGTGTGGGATTTTTTGAGGATCTCGTGGCTTTCAGTAGGGACGTGGGGGAATCAGTCGATCACCAAATTAACGGGAAGTCATAAGAAAATTGCAGAACCTCATGGAAGGATCAGGTAACGTAGCCAAAAACCTCCCCCAACCCCTCAGGGTATAAATAATGAACACAGAACGACCACTCCCTAAGTATTAAACAATATACGACAAATTGAAACGAACCTACTGCGACGTCTGGAACTTTAACAAAACTGAAATTCAAAATCCTTCCTCCAGGATGATCCTCTCTCTCAAAGATACAGATGTTTGTTTCTTTTTTCTTTGAAAGAAGGGTGTAAGCTGTTAACAAACCACCCGTTCCTATAGATAAAGAGAAACCAATTAAGTTTTACTTCCAGAGGCGATGAAAGTATATAACTTTTACTTTTCCTTTTCCAACCAGTAGCTGACGAGAATAGATACACTTATCAACGGGTGCTTTTGCAACACCATTTCTCTAATTTTTTAATACAAGCAGCTTTGCAATCCGAAGGAATTAATTTTTAAGGGTTCAACAATTTAATCAGTGCTTCATCTCCCGGGAAATTGCAATGGACCCGTACTGCCCAGTTCTCACCTGCTCCAATTATAGCTGTTTAAGATATTTCTACGAGGAGGTGTGATCGATGCTGCTTTGGTCAGGTTGGCCCAGCAATTGATGCTACAGCAGTACTTGTATTGCTTTTTCTGTGGTTGATGTCAATGCTGTGGTTGTTGTTGGAGAAGTAGTCGTTGGTTTTTCTGTGGTGTTTGGTTTTTCTGTGGTGTTTGGTTTTTCTGTGGTGTTTGGTTTTTCTGTGGTGTTTGGTTTATCTGTGGTGTTTGGTTTAA